TTATTAAATATCCTTTCCGGAAACATCAGAATTATTAAATATACTTTCCGGAAACGTCAGATTTATTAAATATCCTTTCCGGAAACATCAGAATTATTAAATATACTTTCCCGAAACATCAGAATTATTAAATATATTTTTCCGGAAACATCAGAATTATTAAATATATTTTTCCGGAAACATCAGAATTATTACATATACTTTCCGGAAACATCAGAATTATTAAATATATTTTTCCGGAAACATCAGAATTATGAAATATATTTTTCCGGAAAAGGCAGAATTATTAAATATACTTTCCGGAAAAATCAGAATTATTAAATATATTTTTCCGGAAACATCAGAATTATTAAATATACTTTCCGGAAACGGCAGATTTATTAAATATCCTTTCCGGAAACATCAGAATTATTAAATATACTTTCCGGAAACGTCAGATTTATTAAATATCCTTTCCGGAAACATCAGAATTATTAAATATACTTTCCGGAAACATCAGAATTATTACATATACTTTCCGGAAACATCAGAATTATTAAATATATTTTTCCGGAAACATCAGAATTATTAAATATACTTTCCGGAAAAATCAGAATTATTAAATATCCTTTCCGGAAACATCAGAATTATTAAATATACTTTCCGGAAACGTCAGATTTATTAAATATATTTTTCCGGAAACAGCAGAATTATTAAATATATTTTTCCGGAAACATCAGAATTATTAAATATATTTTTCCGGAAACATCAGAATTATTACATATACTTTCCGGAAACATCAGAATTATTAAATATATTTTTCCGGAAACATCAGAATTATGAAATATATTTTTCCGGAAAAGGCAGAATTATTAAATATACTTTCCGGAAAAATCAGAATTATTAAATATATTTTTCCGGAAACATCAGAATTATTAAATATACTTTCCGGAAACGGCAGATTTATTAAATATCCTTTCCGGAAACATCAGAATTATTAAATATACTTTCCGGAAACGTCAGATTTATTAAATATCCTTTCCGGAAACATCAGAATTATTAAATATACTTTCCGGAAACATCAGAATTATTAAATATATTTTTCCGGAAACATCAGAATTATTAAATATACTTACCGGAAAAATCAGAATTATTAAATATACTTTCCGGAAACGTCAGATTTATTAACTATCCTTTCCGGAAACATCAGAATTATTAAATATACTTTCCGGAAACGTCAGAATTATTACATATACTTTCCGGAAACATCAGAATTATTAAATATATTTTTCCGGAAACAGCAGAATTATTAAATATATTTTTTCGGAATCATTAGAATTATTAAATATATTTTTCCGGAAACATCAGAATTATTACATATACTTTCCGGAAACATCAGAATTATTAAATATATTTTTCCGGAAACATCAGAATTATGAAATATATTTTTCCGGAAAAGGCAGAATTATTAAATATACTTTCCGGAAAAATCAGAATTATTAAATATATTTTTCCGGAAACATCAGAATTATTAAATATACTTTCCGGAAACGGCAGATTTATTAAATATCCTTTCCGGAAACATCAGAATTATTAAATATACTTTCCGGAAACGTCAGATTTATTAAATATCCTTTCCGGAAACATCAGAATTATTAAATATACTTTCCGGAAACATCAGAATTATTACATATACTTTCCGGAAACATCAGAATTATTAAATATATTTTTCCGGAAACATCAGAATTATTAAATATACTTTCCGGAAAAATCAGAATTATTAAATATCCTTTCCGGAAACATCAGAATTATTAAATATACTTTCCGGAAACGTCAGATTTATTAAATATATTTTTCCGGAAACAGCAGAATTATTAAATATATTTTTCCGGAAACATCAGAATTATTAAATATATTTTTCCGGAAACATCAGAATTATTACATATACTTTCCGGAAACATCAGAATTATTAAATATATTTTTCCGGAAACATCAGAATTATGAAATATATTTTTCCGGAAAAGGCAGAATTATTAAATATACTTTCCGGAAAAATCAGAATTATTAAATATATTTTTCCGGAAACATCAGAATTATTAAATATACTTTCCGGAAACGGCAGATTTATTAAATATCCTTTCCGGAAACATCAGAATTATTAAATATACTTTCCGGAAACGTCAGATTTATTAAATATCCTTTCCGGAAACATCAGAATTATTAAATATACTTTCCGGAAACATCAGAATTATTAAATATATTTTTCCGGAAACATCAGAATTATTAAATATACTTACCGGAAAAATCAGAATTATTAAATATACTTTCCGGAAACGTCAGATTTATTAACTATCCTTTCCGGAAACATCAGAATTATTAAATATACTTTCCGGAAACGTCAGAATTATTACATATACTTTCCGGAAACATCAGAATTATTAAATATATTTTTCCGGAAACAGCAGAATTATTAAATATATTTTTTCGGAATCATTAGAATTATTAAATATACTTTCCGGAAAAATCAGAATTATTAAATATACTTTCCGGAAACGTCAGATTTATTAAATATATTTTTCCGGAAACAGCAGAATTATTAAATATATTTTTCCGGAAACATCAGAATTATTAAATATATTTTTCCGGAAACATCAGAATTATTACATATACTTTCCGGAAACATCAGAATTATTAAATAATTTTTCCGGAAACATCAGAATTATTAAATATACTTTCCGGAAAAATCAGAATTATTAAATATCCTTTCCGGAAACATCAGAATTATTAAATATACTTTCCGGAAACGTCAGATTTATTAAATATATTTTTCCGGAAACAGCAGAATTATTAAATATATTTTTCCGGAAACATCAGAATTATTAAATATATTTTTCCGGAAACATCAGAATTATTACATATACTTTCCGGAAACATCAAATTATTAAATATATTTTTCCGGAAACATCAGAATTATGAAATATATTTTTCCGGAAAAGGCAGAATTATTAAATATACTTTCCGGAAAAATCAGAATTATTAAATATATTTTTCCGGAAACATCAGAATTATTAAATATACTTTCCGGAAACGGCAGATTTATTAAATATCCTTTCCGGAAACATCAGAATTATTAAATATACTTTCCGGAAACGTCAGATTTATTAAATATCCTTTCCGGAAACATCAGAATTATTAAATATACTTTCCGGAAACATCAGAATTATTACATATACTTTCCGGAAACATCAGAATTATTAAATATATTTTTCCGGAAACATCAGAATTATTAAATATACTTTCCGGAAAAATCAGAATTATTAAATATCCTTTCCGGAAACATCAGAATTATTAAATATACTTTCCGGAAACGTCAGATTTATTAAATATATTTTTCCGGAAACAGCAGAATTATTAAATATATTTTTCCGGAAACATCAGAATTATTAAATATATTTTTCCGGAAACATCAGAATTATTACATATACTTTCCGGAAACATCAGAATTATTAAATATATTTTTCCGGAAACATCAGAATTATGAAATATATTTTTCCGGAAAAGGCAGAATTATTAAATATACTTTCCGGAAAAATCAGAATTATTAAATATATTTTTCCGGAAACATCAGAATTATTAAATATACTTTCCGGAAACGGCAGATTTATTAAATATCCTTTCCGGAAACATCAGAATTATTAAATATACTTTCCGGAAACGTCAGATTTATTAAATATCCTTTCCGGAAACATCAGAATTATTAAATATACTTTCCCGAAACATCAGAATTATTAAATATATTTTTCCGGAAACATCAGAATTATTAAATATACTTACCGGAAAAATCAGAATTATTAAATATACTTTCCGGAAACGTCAGATTTATTAACTATCCTTTCCGGAAACATCAGAATTATTAAATATACTTTCCGGAAACGTCAGAATTATTACATATACTTTCCGGAAACATCAGAATTATTAAATATATTTTTCCGGAAACAGCAGAATTATTAAATATCTTTTTCGGAATCATTAGAATTATTAAATATACTTTCCGGAAACATCAGAATTATTAAATATATTTTCCCGGAATCATTAGAATTATTAAATATACTTTCCGGAAACATCAGAATTATTAAATATATTTTTCCGGAACATCAGAATTATTAAATATACTTACCGGAAAAATCAGAATTATTAAATATACTTTCCGGAAACGTCAGATTTATTAAATATCCTTTCCGGAAACATCAGAATTATTAAATATATTTTTCCGGAACATCAGAATTATTAAATATACTTACCGGAAAAATCAGAATTATTAAATATACTTTCCGGAAACGTCAGATTTATTAAATATCCTTTCCGGAAACATCAGAATTATTAAATATACTTTCCGGAAACGTCAGAATTATTACATATACTTTCCGGAAACATCAGAATTATTAAATATATTTTTCCGGAAACAGCAGAATTATTAAATATATTTTTCCGGAAACATCAGAATTATTAAATATATTTTTCCGGAAACATCAGAATTATTACATATACTTTCCGGAAACATCAGAATTATTAAATATATTTTTCCGGAAACATCAGAATTATTAAATATACTTTCCGGAAAAATCAGAATTATTAAATATACTTCCTTTCCGGAAACATCAGAATTATTAAATATATTTTTCCGGAAACATCAGAATTATTAAATATACTTTCCGGAAACGTCAGATTTATTAAATATCCTTTCCGGAAACATCAGAATTATTAAATATACTTTCCGGAAACGTCAGATTTATTAAATATCCTTTCCGGAAACATCAGAATTATTAAATATATTTTTCCGGAAACATCAGAATTATTAAATATACTTTCCGGAAACGTCAGATTTATTAAATAATCTTTCCGGAAACATCAGAATTATTAAATATATTTTTCCGGAATCAGCAGATTTATTAAATATCCTTTCCGGAAACATCAGAATTATAAAATATTAGTTTTCCCCTCTCACCGTTTTTTTGAAACCACTAACTTACATGTTTCTTTGTAAAAGCTCTCCCATTTATCAGAATCCATTCCAGGCATTCTCTCAATTTCAACTGCAAATCATCCAGTTTAGCTTGAAAGAAGCCGGAATCCTCTATTTCTTCTTCTAAATTATATTAAATTATTTTTTAATTATTATAACTTTAAAATGTTAAAAGTTTTTGTGAATTCTAAGTAATTTTTAATTAAAATTTTTAATTAAAATTTTTAATTAAAATTTACCATTAAATAAGTCCAAAGCAATTTTGCTTAAATTTATTTGTTCGAACAATTTCAATTTAAATTTTTTCCCCGTCAAAAAAGCATAACCTTTTTTCAATTTTCTTTTCATCCAATTCATTATTTTAACAACTCCTTTACCATACCCATAAGTTATAGTCATTTTTGGATGATAAATATCATAAACTTCCTTTTCTGTTATTTCTACCAAATTTTTATTTTTTCCATTTAATCTTTTAATTGAACGATCAAAAATTAATTTAATCATTTCTTTGTTTCTAATTGTATCTGTAGACCAAAAGTTTTCAAAAAACTCACTTCCAAAGTGATTAGCAGTTATATAACCTATTTCGAATTTGAGAAGTTGTGTTGAAGGATTAAACAAAATTCCAATAATTTTTTTAAATAAACTTGATACGGTAATAAAATGTGAGGGAATAGAGGTTAGTAGAAACCCAAAAAGACTTAAAACTGATCCAATCCCCATTGCGTTGATGGTCATTGAGGAATTTTTTTCTATATCCATTGAAGCACTGACCTGCAAAGTAAAAAAACTTTTATTCTGTATATTACAGTCAGAGTGTGTGTGTCGGGCCAACGGTCGAGGCATTTTTCGAGCTTGTTTTTATGAATTCAGGCCTGTGTGAGTCTCTTACGGACCTAATTTATCGAGACGGGCCTGTACGAGTCATTTTCGGGCCAAATATCTTAGGCCGACTCGATCTTCTGGTCCGAGTCGTTCCATTTTGGCAACCCTAATTACATTATAGTTTTGGATTTTGGCTCCCTTGTTTCATCAAAAATTTCCCTTAATCCAACTTAGACGAATCGAGAATATTCAAGAATAAATTTATTTACTCGAATAAATTATAGATAATAACCTTATGTTTAATATATTTACTGAAAGCAACATTTCTTTCCTCGTTAGTAATTCCCATTCCCAATGTTAAAGAATGAGGTTCATTAATTACAAATAATTTTTGAACAATTTCTTTACATATTTCTTTGTTTTTAGAATTTTCCTCAATTCTACGTTCTAAAACAAGTTGTTCAATACTAGGTTTTGGAAAAAAGCCTTTCTTGTATTTATAATATACCCCAGCACGTAACAAATCTTTAATTACGGAATATTCAAAAGGCAAAATTGCACTAGATGTAGATGAAGCAATCTAAATGTGTATGGATTATCTCAACATAGACTTCCCTTTTTTACCTCATTCGAAAGAATATCTATTCCCAACATATCCCAATTCGTATCCATTTGTATCAAATTATTTAACAAAGAACCTCCAACAGCTATATTTTTCACATTCCAAGCATCTTTAAGATTATTCAAAAATCCTTCCAAAGTTGTTGGGGTAAAATTTCCTCCCTCAATCATTATTAAAAATCTTTGAAGAAATAACGAGTTAGCTATGTTAACAAATAAATTTGTTATAACAGAATATAATATAACAGATAAAGGAATATATAATACTGGACAAGAAATTGCTACAATTGCTAATAATGGTGGCCAAACAAAAACATCCAAAATTGTGCTGATTAGGCCAGAGCCTGCTAAATTTATTAGCATGCTGTTTGCAATTTCTTTTGTCACTTCCTTGGCGTTATAGACGGAAAGGAGAATTTGAGCTCCGAGTCGACCACGAAATTCTTTATGCATTTCGTCATCATCTTCTGTAAATTTGTTTAAATAAAAAAATTAAAATGTAAATATATTTGTCAGTTAAATTAAGCAAGTCAATTGTTTTTAAGGGATATTATTTTCCCAAATCATCTCAACCAAAACAAAATTAGTACTATTTTTTATCAAACACTTCAGTTTATTAATATGTTTAGGGAAATTTTTCCTGATTCTTAATTTGGGATTCGGAATGTAATATTAATTTATAATATTTGATTGAGACTTGCCTTTAATTTCTTCAGAAATTACAATCTGAATTGCTTCTTTTAACTTATAACAACTTTTAATGTCTTTATCAATATTCAAGAGCTCCTTTTTAAATTTAAAATAAACGTCGGTATCAAATTTTTCTTTATTTTCATTTTTATCCATTTGTTGTGGATTATACCAAAAATTTAATTAAGGTCTTGCCCGTCCAGGAAATACAGGTGCCTGTCAAGGACACGGAAGAAAAGCCGGAAGAGATTGAACTTGAGAGAAGAAATACAAGAAAGAAGAAAAGATGGTATTAAGATCTTATCAGCCAATACATTAATAATTTTAATATATAATGTTTTCTGCTTTTCCCAGCTTTTAACTTTTACACTTCCATATACATATTTTTTAAATAAAAATAAAAATTCTTCTTTCTTTTAAAATAAATAAAATTATTTTATAATTAATTAATAATAGAGTAAGGTAGAGGTTTAAATCGCCCAGTCCACGGCCCTTTTAAATCTTTAAATTATAAAGACTAATTTGGTGATATTTAGGCGAATTGTTCATCTTTCAATACGTGGCGAGCAACGGACCTGTGAAATTGTTCAATCGCCTTGTTCAAATTGTTCAAAGAAGCTAATAAAGAAGGAGCGAAAAGGTGTTTAAATATAAATAAAAATCTGAAAAAATTTAAATAAAATTAAAAATATAAATAAAAATTTAATATGGAAAGACCAATACTAAGTTTTGAAAGAATAATTTTAGAACTTGTAGATAGGTTAAGGGAATTACAAAATAAGGCTCTACCGAAAAAATTAGGCGATAAAGCAACGCCAAATCAGCTACGTAGGCAATACTTTTTTGTTAAAAATACTTTAGAGCAATTTGGGGATTTAATTTACGAAATAGACGATAATAAGAAAAAGGCTACTGAATATATAGGAAGATTGTCGGCGGCGAGTAAAGAAATTAAAGAGGCATCATTTTCGACATTTTTAGAAGAATTAGACTTAACGAGTGTTTTGAAAGAGGTGAGAAAAGTTAGAGCGGATTGGGAGGCATTGAAATATAGTATTGAGGAGAGATTAGATATAGACCCAGAAGAAGCTTCAGTAGGATCATCAAATCATGGGGGAAATTCTATTAAAGCAAAATTACCACAAATCCAAATACAGAAATTTGACGGTGAAATAGAGAGTTGGTTTTCCTTTTGGGAGAATTTTAAGGTGTTAGTACATGATGAGAGGAATTTGTCCGAAATAGAGAAATTTAATTTTTTACAGGCAGGTTTAGAAGGAGCTGCTAAGGAATTAATAGAGGGTATACCAATAACAAAGGATGGATATTACGACGCGATTGATTTAATATTAGAGAAGTTTGGAGACAGTAAAAAATTAATAAGGTCACTAAACCAGGAAATAATGAATTTGCCAATATCAGAATGTTTTGAAGAAGATGAGAGATTATATTTAAAAATAGAGAAAATTTGCCGATTATTAAATTCTTTAAAACAAAATACAGATGATACCCCTTACTATATGGCATTAGAGAGTAAATTAAGTGCGGAAGTTTTAGATAAATATTTTGCAATAAAATCAATAGAAGAAGAAGAGGATTGGTCAACGGAAAAATTTCGAGCGGCGTTTAAAAAAGCGCTTACACACGTTAGAACGGTTAAGGAAGTGCAATATTCGGTTAGAAAACAAAAAGCAGGAGAAAGAATAATAAGTTTAACGACAACTACCAATAAAAACACTAATAATAATTGGTACGGTAACAATCAAAATAGAAATTTTACACAATTTAGACCATCTAATAATAGAAATTTTAGTCCAAATAGAGAAAAATTCCGCGATAAAAATTATAGCTCAAATAGAGAAAATTATAATAGAGATAAATCCAGATCATTTAGTCCCTCTAGTGAAGAAGAGAAGAGAAATAATCAATATAGAAAAAGAAGAGACTCTCCCTTCCCAGACCGAGGAAAAAGCAGTTCGGACAGTCAAAGCCGATCGAGAGAAAGAGAAATTATTTGCGCTCTTTGCTCAAAAAATCATACGGAAGTAGACTGCACAAAATATAAAAGTGCAGAAGAGAGAAGGAACGCTTGTCTTAAAAAAGAATTATGTTTTTATTGTTTAGTTAAGGGACATATGGCGTCACAGTGTCGTAGAAGGAGAGCGTGTTTATTTTGTAGAAAAGCTCATCACTCAGCACTTTGTCGGAAAAAATATGGAAATATAAGAGAAAAAATAAATTTAAGTTTGGAAAAAATAAATAAATTAGATGAATTAAAAGACATAGATTTATCGAATTTAGGCAAGGAAATTATAACTAATTGTAGAGCAAATATAAATAATGATTGTAAAATTGAAAATAATTTAGTTAATTCGTGTTTATTAAATCCGGAAAGCAAAATGTCACTGCTTAAAGTAATACCAGTAAAATTATATAACCCCTTAAATAAAGAAAAAACAATAAAAGAGTTTGCATTATTAGATGACGGCAGCCAAAAATCATATATAGAAGAAGAGCTAGCAAAAGAATTAAAACTGTGTAATAATAATATAAAGAAATTTCAAATAGAGGGTATAGGAAAAACTAAAATGGGGACTTTTGAAAAACCAATAGTAGAATTTGGAATAAGAAAAGGGAATTTTGATAAATTAATAAAAGCACGTGCTTTGCCAACTGTTTTAAATAATCTACCTTATGTGTCAATAGAGTCAATTCCTAAAGAACAGTTAAATAGAAATAAACTTTTAGCAGAATTACAGATGATAAAGCCTAGATTGTTGATAGGAAATGATCATTATAATAAATTTATAATTTCAACTAAAGAACAATTACCATCTGGATTTTGGTTATCTAGTTCTAAAGTAGGTAATATTCTTAACGGAGAAGGGAAAATATTAAATAAAGAAACGGAAGGAGAAATTTGTGGATATAGTTATATAGATAAAAATAACACTGATACATTAGAAATACAAAATGATCATGAATCCTATAAATGGGAAGACTTAGTAAGGAAACAAGAAAGCCTGCAATTTATAGGATTAAGTGACGCAATAGAAAAGAGTGATGAGGAAGTCAAAAAAGAAATGGAAAAATTAGTAACATATGACGGTCAGAGATATCAAACAGCACTTTTATGGAACAGTCTAGCTGATAAATTACCTCATAATAAGCGAATGGCCTATGCTCAATTAAAAAATATGGTAACGAATTTAAGAGAAAAACCGCATATTTTAAAACAAATAGACCAAATATTTAAAGAGCATGAAAGGATGGAATTAATAGAAAGAATACCAATAGAAGACGGTACAAAAAATAGAACACATTATTTACCACACTTCGCAGTGTTTAGAGAGGATAAAGAACACACAAAAATAAGAGAGGTTTTTAATGGAGCAGCCAAATCGGGGAACGCACCTTCTTTAAACGAATGTTTAGAGAAAGGACCTAATTTATTTAATGATCTCACGGGTATACAAATAAGAGCAAGACTTCAAAAATATTTAATAGGGTGTGATATAGCCAAGGCATTCCTCCAAATAAATCTTGACCCAGTAGATAGAGATGTAACACGTTTTTTATGGATGGAGGATCCTCTGGATGAAAACTCAAAAATAATTGCGTTTAGATTTAAAAGAGTAACCTTTGGAATAATATGTTCACCAGCACATTTAGCTTTAGTCATTCAAATACATTTAAAGAAATATAATACAGATTTAGCAAGAGAAATTGAAAGAAATATTTACGTCGATAATATTATAATAGGAGTAGAAGAAGAAAAGGAAATTATAAATATTTGCCAACAAACAAAATTAATTTTTGAAAAAGCGAGTATGCCAATAAGAGAATTCATTTCTAACTCACAACAAATAGATAAACTACCGATTGAAGAAAGGATTGTTAAAGATAGAGTAAAATTTTTAGGTTTAGAATGGAATGTTAAAACAGACGAAATATACATAAAATTTCCTGAAATAGAAGTAGGTGAAAAATTAACTAAAAGGAAATTATTGTCCCAATCATCTAAATTGTTTGACCCTATGGGTCTTTGTGCGCCAGTTTTAATAGAAGCAAAACTATTTCGTCAGGAAATCGATAAAAACAGAAAAGTTGGGTGGGACAAATTATTAACAAATAAAGAAAGGGAAAAATGGATTAAAATAATTAATGAATGGAATAATCAGAATATAGTAATTAAAAGGAAAATACATAATTTAATAAAGAAAAATATAGATAAATATGAAATACACGCATTTTCGGATGCATCTCAAATAGCGTTTGGGGCAGCGATTTACCTTAGAGTAATCACAAAAAATGAAATAATAACTAAATTAATTTTTGGTAAAAGTTTAATAATTCCTTCAACGCTCCCAACAAAAAGAAGAACCATACCCAATTTAGAATTACACGCGACTATGTTATGCGCCAAATATAGTGAATTTGTAAAGAAAGAATTAGAAAAGGAGATAAAAGTAGATAAAATACAGATATGGACAGACGCAAAAGATGTAATAGATTTTTTACATTCAAGAAATAGACTGGACGTTTTTACTGCAAATAGAGTAAAGAAAATAAGGGAATATTTAGTAAACCATATAGAAGGTAAAATTAATCCAGCGGATATTGCTTCTAGGGGTACCTCAATTAAGGAATTACAACAAAATGAGTTATGGTGGTATGGACCAAAATTTTTATCAAAAATAGAGAAATATTGGCCTGAATCTTTAATAAAATATGACCCAAAAACAATTCCAAAAGAAATAAAAATGCAAACTATAGCTTGTTTAAATATTAAAGAAAGAAATATAGAAAAGGAAAAAGATGAAATTCTTCAAATAATAGAAAGATCATTAAATTGGAATAAAATTAAATCAATAATGTGTTATATATTGAGATGGAAAGGGAAAAATAAAGGACCAATAAAAGTAAAAGAAATAAAAAGAGCTGAAAAAATTATTTTTAGAAAAATCCAAGAAATATTTCCACCCACCGATATAGAAATTAAACAATTAGATCTTTATAAAGACGAGAAAAATTTATGGAGAGCAAAAGGAAGAATAAGAAAAAGTGGTCTCAATCTAGACTCAATGTGCCCTATATTTTTAGATAGAAAGGCAACTATAGTTCCGCTTTTAATATTAGAGGCTCACGCAGCGTCAATGCATGGAGGAGTAGAAATAATTCATTGCCTTTTAAGAAAACGATATTGGATTCCAAAATGTAGAAAATTAATTAGGAACGTCATATTTCATAATCGGAAGACAAAATGTGGAATTTGTGCAAGATATACGTGTAAAAAATTTGAATATCCGAAAGCACCAGATTTACCCATTTTTAGAGTCAAAGGAGATACTGCATTTATGAACGTAGGATTAGATTATTTCGGACCAATTTCAATAAAGAGCAAAGATTGTAATAAAGTTTGGGGAGCTATATTCACTTGTTTATTGTCGAGAGGAATACATATTGAAATAGTGACGGATTGTACAGCAGAAAAATTTCTTTTAGCGTTTAGACGATTTATAAGAAGAAGGAGTACCCCAAAATTAATATTATCAGATAATGGTAAAACATTTGTTTTGGCCAATAAAGTAATACAACAAATTTGCTCTGAAGAGTTAGAACAAAAGAAATTATGGCTAAAAATATTTAATGATAAACAAATCCAAAAATTTGCAAGAAATAAAGAAATAGAGTGGAAATTTAATACCCCTCTTAGTCCATGGAGAGGAGGAAGTTTTGAGAGATTAATTCAATCTATTAAGTTCCATTTAAAAAGAGTAGTCGGAAAAAATATATGTACGTTTGAAGAATTAACAACCCTCTTAATAGAGATAGAAAGAATAATTAATGAACGCCCACTAACATATATATCTTCAACCGAAATAGTAGAACCATTAAGACCTATAGATATTATAAACCCGAGTAGCGACAAACCATATGAAATTCAATGTTCTACGAATGATATAGAAGAGATAAATAAAGATGAGGAATTTTTTGTACCTACACCTACGACGAAAAATAGAGATAGATTATTGGCCACATATAAAAAATCAATTTTTAAAACGCATATTTTTTGGAAGAATTGGAAAGAGACATACTTAACTTCACTAAGAGAAAAATATGAGAATAATAAAAAGGGAGTAGGAAAATTTCCAAGAATAGGGCAAGTTGTAATAATAAACGAAAATATAGAATGTCCAAGATCCTTATGGCCGATAGGGTTGATTACTGAGATAATTAGTGATAGAACAGTTAAAATAAAAATAGGCCAGAAGATATATGAAAGACCAACAAAAATAATATACCCATTAGAAATTGAAGAAGAGGAATAAAAATTATAAAATAAAAATAAATAAATATGTAAATACAGAAAAATAATAATAAAGGAAATATAAACAAGAAAATAAAATATAGAAAATAAATATATAAATTTAAATAATAAAATTAAATAATCAAAAATAAATTTAAATAATTTTAGGATGTACAAGCAACAAAAAATTGAAATTCATAATCCTACTCTATTTATTACTAATTATATTCCAACAAAATTAAGGGCCTTTTTAGTGGCAAAAAGAATTCCAGCAACGGTATATGAACCAAATTCTTGGAAAAGCAGCTTGATTGGAAACGAAATACAGTTAAAGAATGAAGTAAAGACAGTAGTTGTTTTGAATAAAGATTACGAAGAGGGTTTGATAGAGCTAATAAAGAAATTGAAACAGATAGCGCTGTTGAGTAATATAGACGTATTTTGGTTTCTAAAACATCCCAATTCAAGATACATACAAAATATAGTGGGAAATAATAGAAACATTGTAACACTAGAAGATAAAGAAGAAGATTGGCCCGAAATGATTAAAGAGATGGCACAACAAGGTATTGATTTTGAAGCGGGTAATAGAGCTAGAAGAGGAAATTTTGAGGCTTTGCCAAGAAAAAGAAGAAATTCAAGAGAAAGTTTTAATAGAGGCTACCAAAAATTTAAAAGAAGTAATTGGAATAATAGAGAAGATTTTAATAATATTAATTGGAACGAAAATCGTCAAAAATGGGGTAATAGAGAAAAGGAGGTTTTTACTTATAAAGTACCAGCAGCTAAATGGAAAAATTATGAAAAAGAAGAATATGAATATTTCAATAAAAATACAAAGAAGAATTATTGGGAGGAAGAGAAAGAAGCGAGTAAATATTTTTGGGAGAAAAAAGAAGAGAAGAATAAAGAGGGGAGAAATAGGGAAGTAAAATATAATAGAGAAAGCTCAAGCAAAGGAAGTTTTGATGAGGAAGGATATAGTCAAAGTACCACCAACTCATCAAGAGGTTTGGAGGAAAATTATCAAATAAAAGAAAAATATTGTTTGCCACAAAATTTTTTAGAAGAAATAAGAATAATAGAGAAAGAGAACATGTTAAATAAGCTAATAGAGAAAAACGCAAAGGAAATAATAGATGAAAATTGGCAAATGATACTAGAAAAAGAATACTATGAAATTAAAAAGTTTTTGGAAGAAAAAATAGAGATAAAAATACAGTTATTCGGTAGCACATTAAGTAATTTATGCACTGAAAATTCCGATATAGACATCGCAGTGTTTGAATCAGACATAAAGAATACAGGGATGTTATTAAAGAAAATTGGAAGAGAGCTTAAAATAAAGTATGGGGCAGATAAAGTTCATAAAGAAAATTTAATAATACAGGCAAAAATCCCTTTGTTAGAAATGCAGATAGATAAAGAAAGTAATAGAATAACAATCCAAATAACAATAGAGAACGAAGCTGGAGTAATAAATAGTCTTCACATAAGAATGTTAACTGAAATAGAGCCAAAATTAAAATATATATGGATGAATATTAAAAAATGGGCAGAAATAAATAATGTAATTGATTCAAAAAATGGAAGATTTGCAGCGTACACTCTTTTAATATTAGTCAACTTTTATTTATTAAGCTTGAGTAAACCAGCTGTACCAAATATATGGAAAATAATAGAAGAAGAAAGAAATTATAGTGAAATAAATCATATAGAATTGGGAAATAGAATATTTGAGAATATAGGAGAGAGTTTCGAAAACACAGAATATGGAACAGCAAGACTATTCGCAGGATTTTTTAAATTTATGGTTGATATAGATTTTGATAAATATAGTATTAGTAATACAGAAGAAAATTGGTTAAAAGATAAAAATACAGAAAAGTATCCGGTGGTAATAGAAAATCCATTTAATAACCAACAGAATTCCGCTAGAAGTGTGAAAAAGGAAAATTGGGAAAATATTAAAGAAAAATTTACAATAGCGAATAATAAAATAATACAGGGTTTTAATAGAGAATTGTTCCACGAATTAATAGGGAATAGAGAAATTTGTGAGAAATTAAGTGAATTAGATTTGCAAAAAGAAGAGGAAATATTAAAGGAAGACGAAAATGAGGAAACGATTGAGAATGTTGATTTGGAGAAAGCTGAACAGGAATTATTTAAAGAAAATGAGAAAGATTTAGAGGAAGAGAAGACAAAAGAAGAAAAGAGCCAAAATAAAAGTAAGAAAAATAAAGCTTGGGTAAATAAAGGAAAAACTTATAAATTAGGGACCACACTAGGACTAATAATATTGATTAATATTCTGATATTAATGAAAAGTGCTATCGCAATAAGACCCATGATCTGTCACCACTTAAAAAAGAGTAATTTAATAAAGTTTAAAATAGATAACTCAGAATGTAAGCAAGTTATAAAGCTTCTTAATAAGAATGTGTTAAGTGGTAGTATGGATATTTTTAAGCCAAATACAATAGAGTTTAGTTTTTACGGATGGAAATGCGTCGCAATAAAACAAGCAGTCGACTATAGAACAGATTTTTTAGGATACTCGCATCAAAAAGCACCTGAACAAAAAATAATTAAAATAACGCCGGAGGAATGTAAAAATTGGGTAAATTTTAAAAAATGTGAATATGGGGAAATAACAAAGGGTAGCGATAAAGAATTACATACGGGGAATAGTTTGAATCTAGAATACTCCTGGTGGAAAATAGGATGGCAAAAAGCAACGGTAGTTAACTGTTTCATCACTCAAAGCTTACTAATAGGCCAACCGGGTAAAATTACAATAGATTCACCAACAGAGGAAGTGAAACATTGTGAATTCATTGAAGAAGAATGTAACCTAAAAGATGGAGCCGCAATAATATGGGAGAAAAACAATGATATTAGTGAAATTTTCGATAAGAGAATGTGTAAATATCAGAAAATAGGGCACTTTTCAGGAAATTATTCAAATGGAATTTGGTATTCGATAGACATGCAAAGATCATTAATATTCGAAGAAAATGCAGAAAAAATAGAGACTTGTGGAGAAAAACTAAGAATAAGTAATACGGGATTTGCTATTCGAGAATACGATTTTAAAAAGATTATAGACCAGAAAAATAAAAATAGAGTGAAAAGATATTTAGATAGGGATCCAAGTGTGAAATTAAGCGAATTATTATCTAGATTACAAGCTGAAGCAGTTTTTCAGGACAAACAAAATCGAATAGCGCTAGAAAATATAATTAATATACTTTGTGAAACAATAGAAAGCAACCAATATACTAGCTGGTTATCGCATTTAGAAGCAACCAAATTTATCAGAGAAAAGCTTAATAACGATTATTTAGAGGCTAACTGGGTAGACAAAAATATTATAGAATTTTGGGAATGTACACCGACAAATTATACCATCACACCGTCTGTGGACGGCGCGTGCTTTAAAGATATACCAGCGAATATTAGTATGAAAAATGGAGTAATAAAAGGATTCATAGACCCACAGAATTTAATAATAAAAAGTTTCAGTGATAGAGGTCCTTGTGACAAATTTAGATATATTACAACCAAAATTGATGAAAAATTTTTTAAAATAGACCAGTGGAGTGGAGATATAGCTGAAATAAAGTCAAAAGACATAATTGAAGAAAAAATATCAAATAAGAAGATATTCAGAGTCCCAAATTTAGCGGTGCATATTTTTGTTAAAGACAGTCTAAACAATATATCAGAAAATCAACTTGATATTTTACAATTAATGCACAGTAGTTTAGGACATAGGGGAATAGACAATAGACCGATAGAGCAACAAGGAGCATGGATCAATCCACCTACTAACAACTGGTCAATAAGTGGAATCTTAATAAATATAGATTATTGGGAATACTTAGAAAGAGTAATGGTTATAATAAACATAGTGTATTGGATTCTAAAATTATGGGAATGGAAAAATAAAAAGATAGTGAGACGAATCACCCGAAAAGATCAAAATCTAAAAATGGGGAGTGTTGTGGATTATACCAAAAATTTAATTAAGGTCTTGCCCGTCCAGGAAATACAGGTGCCTGTCAAGGACACGGAAGAAAAGCCGGAAGAGATTGAACTTGAGAGAAGAAATACAAGAAAGAAGAAAAGATGGTATTAAGATCTTATCAGCCAATACATTAATAATTTTAATATATAATGTTTTCTGCTTTTCCCAGCTTTTAACTTTTACACTTCCATATACATATTTTTTAAATAAAAATAAAAATTCTTCTTTCTTTTAAAATAAATAAAATTATTTTATAATTAATTAATAATAGAGTAAGGTAGAGGTTTAAATCGCCCAGTCCACGGCCCTTTTAAATCTTTAAATTATAAAGACTAATTTGGTGATATTTAGGCGAATTGTTCATCTTTCAATACCATTTTAGAGTTAATCCAATTCCATGCTTCGTTAAATATATTTTTTTGTTTGTTTCTGAATTCATTATTGAGATAATTTAATGAATTAATTATTTTGTTATTTTCAACTTTATTCTTTTTTAAATTAATTTTGATCTATTAAAAAATAATTAATTATTCAGTTAATAATTAATTTAAATTACTACTTTATTTTTTCTTCTATAATTTTTAGTCTTCTCCAATATTTTTTTAATTTCTTTAAATTCTTTATATAAAAATTCTACAGAATTTTCTCTCAATTTTCTTTTCTCATTTTTTATAAAAATATCTGGATTTTTAAAATATTCAACAATTTCCTCATATTCTTGTCCGCCAAGCTTTTCAAAGCGTTTATTTAAAGGCTTTATTTTAACATTATAAACAACATTTTGGAGAAAATCAAAAGGGTGAATTTTAATTTTCACTAAATTTTTGAAGATTTTCTCATCTATTTCCACTTTAATTTCTTCATCTAATTGTTTTTGCCCATCCTCCTCAAATTTTCTTATGTAACCTAAAATTGGGTAGATTAATTTTAATTATTATAAAGTGGAGTGAGGTTCACAATAATTAATTTGACAAACTTTATGAACAGTTAGAGGTTATCTTCCAGTGGTGGATGCCGAGCATTTTGGAAGGATTGCGAAGTAATGCCCTTCCGTAGCGACGCAAAATAAGTTTCCAAGGAGGTTTTTAAGTAGATTAGACCCAGAAGGTTAACCAAACTCGGCACTTTTTAGACAAACAGATAACCGAAAACCGCGGTATCGGTTATAATCGGTTGTGTACCCTATATATTTTTAACTGGTTATAATTTTGTTTAGAAGCACTCAATCATTCTTATTTTCTAAAAAGAATTTATACTTTTAAATTCTTCAATTCGTTTTTCCTTCAATTTTATATCAGATAATTTATTCAACTCTTCTATTAAATTATCTTCTAGCTTTTTTGATTTTTCAGAAATTTCTATTAAAATTTTTTGTTCAATTGAAGTTTTTCCCAGCTTTTCCAAAGACTTTAATTTCTCAAAATTTTCATCCAAAATTTGTTCTATTTCTTCAAATTCTTTTTTTTTTGTTTTATTTTTTTCATCAATCAAATCATCATTTTTAGTTTTTTTAATTAAATTTTTAGTAAATAACCTCACAAACCACAAATTTTCCAACCAAATTTTTCTTTCAATACTTTTAATTATTTTCCATAAATGTGAACATATTTTATCAAAAATACGTTTTTCTGTCTTTTTTATTAATTTAAGACGTTTTTTCTCTAAATCAGTTTTAATTTTTAATATATTCGACCAGTCAAGATAAATTTCTTCTCCTTCACCAAATCCACTTCTTCCTTTGTAGATTGCTTCTAAAAATAAAGAATATTTAAATTTATTATTTAAACTAGGGATCGGAGGTTTTAAAACCTTGGTCTAATCTTGATACTTGATTTTGGTTGAGTACTTTGACAAGATTCTTGTCCTCGAATCAAGGAAGAATCAAGGTCAAGGGGAAATCAAGTGACCCTGTAAAATGCCATATCTTGACTCTGCATCAGGAGAAATCAAGATCTGGATCCAAGTCCAGCCCGATCTTTGATTAAAAACAAGAATAGGATTAGAGATTAATTATTATTTAAATATGTTTTATATCCTCTGCTCTAAATTTTTTGAAAGTTGGGATTTAAAGTTTAGGGATTTTTTGCACATTTAAAATTGTTCTTCCATCAAATACCTAAAATCGCAAATGTCCCCAAATGCGCATTTCCTTCCCCCTCCTCAACTTCAACATGTTTTTCTTCACTTTTAGGCATTTTTTCTTCATTTTCTTCTTCTTCCTTTTTATTAAAAAATATTATTTTTTCTTCCCCACTTTTTAATTTTTCTAATTCTTCCTTCATAACAGTAGTCCCTTCTCGAAAAAGAAATGCCCAAACAAAAATATCTTTTTCCAAAGAAAATTCAACAAAACATTCTTCTTCTTCCTCTATTCCCCAGAGGTGTTTCGAAACAAAAAAATCTTCGAAAATCGGAAATCGAAAATCGAAAGAAATCCAAAAATATCGAAATCGAAAATCGAAAATATTTTTCAAAATCTTCGAAATCGAAAATCGAAAATCGAAAGAAAAATAACCTCGAAAAACGAAAATCGAAAATCGAAAAAAATTTTTTAATAAAAAAATTGGAAAATAAATTTTTATGTTGGAACTTTTGCTTGAACTCTAAATAAGGAATTGGGGAAAACTAATGACTAGAATCGGAGATCCAGGGAGATTACGGATATCCAAACACAAAATTTTGCATATCAGAATCTACGGCACCGGCTCCGACCTATTCAAATCTTGGTCCGATGCCGGTGATTTTCTGAGCCGTTTCATGTTGTCTCCAGATTAAGAGGGATTAAGAGAGAGATAAAATCCTCCATTATTAAGAGGGATAATGGAGGATTTGAGTAAAATCCCCTGATCTAGTAAAGCAGAGCTAGGCCGCTTTACTCATAGGTTGGGGCGGTACCTGGCATAGGGTTCAAGCATGGAGGGGGGCTTCCAAATCCACCTTACTTCAGGCAAATCCTCCAATATACTCCAATATACCGGAGCCAAAGCATAATATTGTTAAGAGACTACGGATTCCTCCATTTTGTGTCGCAGGCGAAAATTTTGAAAAATTTGGACGATCCTTAAGCCAAAAATCTTCCTTTTTCAGCGCCGCAGGCGAAAATTTTAAGAATTTTGGAAGATCCTTAAGCCAAAAATTTTACTTTTTCTGCGCCGCAGGCGAAAATTTTGAAAATTTATGATGGCCGATAAGCCAAAAATCATCAAATTTGGCGCCAAAAATTTAAATTTTTTCAAAAATTCGGAAATCGAAAATCGAAAATATCACAAAATTTCGAAAATCGGAAATCGAAAATCGAAAGGAAAAAACCCTCGAAAATCGAAAATCGAAATCGAAAATCGAAATTTCGAAACAGCTCTGCTATTCCACCTTCTTCCTCAAATTTTTTTAAAATAAATTTATTATTTATTTTTAACCAAATATATTCCAAAATTTTGTTAATTGTTTTATTTTCAGAAATAAATTGTTTTGTTTTTAAATCTTTTTTAACTTTTCCCCTTATAATTTCGGGAAGAAAAAATAAATTTTTCTTGACAAGTTTTGAGGCATATTCTGATGAAATAAATTCTTTGACATTTTTTATTCTTTAAAAAAATAAATAAAAATATTTTTAATTATTTTTTTTGTTTAATTTTAAATTTACTTGGATTGTTTTTGAGAATTTTCTTCTTCCAAAGATTTTTTAAATTTTGTTGATTTTCTCAAATTTTCGATAAATTCTGTTTGTTCTTGTGGTTCGTTTAATTCAATATTTAATGAACAATTAATTACAAAAAATAAAAATAATTTAAATTTAAACATCTACTAAATTACAAAATTAAATTTTAAATGAAACTTTTTAGAACGTTTAGGCAGCTCGAAATAGTACCTCGAAGTACTCCTAGTGCTCCTATTTTTGTTTGTGGTTCATCGCCTCCTAACAAGTACGATTAAGAATTTTGATTAGAGCATCCAAGCATCGGTTATAAGTGACCGGAGGATAAACTTGTTATAATAATTTTTTATATCCACTGAATGATAATTAAATTTTCGGCATTTTTTAATAAAAACAAAAAAAGAAATTTTATTTAAATTATAAAAAATAATTTAAATTAAAAATTAGTTTATAAATAAAAAATTATAAACGATAGGAATCTATATAATATTTTACATACATAGAGAATAATTAAATATTTATATTGAATTAATTAATTATTCAGCCAATAAATGTCTATTAACAATGCTTAATAATGTCTATTAATGATTGTGTAGCCAAAAAAATGAAAAAGATGCTTTTATTTAATTGAAATTGACCTTTTATTAACTTAGAATGTTTAAATTAAATTAGATTGGAAGTTGAAAATGTTTAGTATTTATTTTTGATAGATAAAATATTTAAATTAAAAATTAACTTTTGGAATTAATTTAATTAATTAAATTTTTCTTTAAACAAATTACCTGTTCGGTTCCGGATGTCCAAAAAATTCCTAGAACAGACATCCCTAATTTTGAACATAAGAAAGAATAAAATAATAAAAAAAATATTTTTTTATTACTTTTACAAATTTATGTATGTCTAATATTTTTGCTTTTTAAAATTTATTTCCTTGTCTATCACAGTGTTATGTAATTCTCAATAATTTTCTTTAACATAAAAAAATACACTTTAAATAAATAACAAATGTCGAAATAAATAAATTTTTTGTAAAAATATATTGTAAGGGTTGGGGATATTCTTGGAATCACGTGAAGAGCAAACAAATGTTTATTTATTATTTAAATTTTTAAATTTATTAAAAAAATGTGGATATTCAATAACATACAAAATAAAATTTAAAAAAAGATTTAATATATTTTTCAATTATTCCTGAAAATATTTTTAATTAACAGGAATTTGTCCATTATTTTTATTTAAATTATTTTTAGAAATGTGTTTGACAGTAACTGCTGTTGCAACAGAATTTGTTTTTATTTTAAAAACTTTATGAAAAGCTTGTCTATATTCTTGGCTTTAAAAAAATAAAATTTGAATTGATAAAATATTTAAAGAATATACTTTGATAAGTAAAGTATAGGCCCATCACTAGCCATAACAAAATTAGTTAAACAACTTAAAGAATGTGTAACTATTG